CTGCTGTTTTGGCAGCTGAGCTATTCCTAAATCGAGAATGAGTAATTTTGCATTATATATCTTATTCTGTCAATTAGAGCAGTTACGTTTTATTAACACAGGCTCTGTTGTGTCCAGTCATCTGAGGAAACAGTTAATATGCTGAAATATTTTTGGGAAAACATGAAATAACAAACTAGCGTCATGGCATTTGACTAATCTCATCCACAAGCTAATTAACATCAAGTTAGAACTTTAAGCAGAAGTCAACATTAATTTATTCTCGTATTGTTAAATTGAAAACAAATATTTACAATTGAAACATTTGTCCGTTAGGCTGTAGGACTTAATCACCTCTAATTGTATAACTTATGATGACAGAGGCAATTATTTTGCTTAAAATAGATGCTGGTATTAATGAGTGCAATGAATATCATAAAATTTTCCTTTCAATCATTTATTTTTAGTTGCACATAATTGTCATTTTAAGGAGGTTTTTATATAACTGTGACATTTTAGATTATTGTTATTGTCAATGTTGGATATAAATACAGTACATCATCTTCAAGGATTATATGGCATCAGTGCCTGTGATTAACTATAAAATAAGCAGCATTCGATGGAGAGAAAAACCCACCGTAAATCACTTGCTTGTCACCAAGAGACTTTATGGATTCACACTCGGCAGTAAACATCTGTTACAGTTACAGCAGAGATGGGGGAACTGCAACACAGCTGGAGTTCATCTGTTGCTTACAAGAAGGGAAGTCGTGATGCTGGAAACGTCAGGAGAGTGAAATTAGTGCCCGTGCTTCGTTTTGCACCTGGCTTTTGGCTTTCTGGTACATTAGCAAAAATGTCTAAAGTGCTGCAGAGTCATCAAGAGAAATGAGCTGTTTGTTTCGGCAAAGTCATAATGCGTATGTACATTTAACTTTTCTCATTTTCAGTGTTTCCTTGCACAATCAAAGCATCTGGTTGACATTTACTAATTGCTATACAGTACTTACTTCAGCATCTGTTAAGTAAATTACCCATAATACCTGACTACATGCTCCTAGTAAACAAAATAATAAATGCTCACGCTGAACAATAAGATTCATTGATCAAAGTTCCAACAAGAGATTTTGAGAGACGTAGACTTTATAACAAATTTCATAAAGCTTCACAAACGTTATGCACACTGCCTGTGACATGACACACACTCCTGCCAAACACACTGTAGCATGTCTTTAATTTATATTTCAAAATGACAAAACAGTCAACAGGCAATTTTTTTGTGTATTTTCTTTTTTTTAAAAAAGGGGGTTCCCAATGAGTTGTTGGGTGATGAATTGATCTTTACTGACAGTGTTTACTGTGATCATAAACCAAGAAAAGCAAAATGACAAAAAAAATTCTAAATACAAATAATCAAAAGCTGAACAGTTTAAAGACATATGGAAATGAAGAACTTGATTCAGGACAAGAGAGGTTACCAGCTCTTTGGAAAGCACCTTGTTGGTGCTAATGTGCCTTTTTGGCCCATCTCTGTTGTTTTTGGTCATTTTGGTCAATGTGTTGAAAAAGTTGAGAACCAATTTTGTTTGTGGGTTGGGTTGCTGTCAACGAAGGACCCACCACAGCCATAAACACCACAACACTCACTAAAATACTTTATTTTTATGATTTTCTTAGAGACACAACACTGGTTCATCTCCTCAGTTAGGTGCTTTTATATGTATATATTTCACATGTCAAAATTATATTATTCTGGTTGTCGTGGTCCTAAGTCTTTGAACAGGAGGCTGTTGGGCCTGCTTTCATAGAGATTTTTATTTTTTCACTTACCTGAAAGACTTCTTCTTATCCAGCACCTTCAGAACTGAAAAAAAAAAACAGCATGAGAAAAAAATGTCTTTATAAACCCAGAAAGGAAATCTAGTTGCCTTCTGTTCAGAAGTACCTTTTAAAGCTTGAGGTCAAAATTATTTGGCCTAAAAAAATAAATAAAAATACCCATCCCAATGTGAATGGTTAGAAACCAGGGCTAATATTCAGAAAATGAGAGAAAAGGTAGCTAATGTCCAAAGAAAAACTTTGAGACCTTCAGGTCAAGAAACGCTTTTCATTTTGTAAGAAAATTTAGTGTTCGTTAACTGAAATCGTGACACAACCACATGAATGTTGAGTAGATTAAAATGGGAAGAAATGGACCATTCAACACCGGTTTAATGTTCTCTGTGCAGACACGAAACCAACGCTGAATGAAAACTGGAAGTCGCGGTCTATAAATACTTGGCTCTTCAGTGCCTGGTACGTCCACTACAGGCCTACGGCTGAATCGCAGACACTCTGAACAGCAATGTTTTTATAAACATTTTATTATGTGTTGTCATGATGTTTCAGGCATATATTTAAACCTATTTTAATCAAGACATAATAATATTCAAACAATAGATTAAAAGAATCAATACTTAAAAAGGAAAACTATGGAAATGGTGTAGTGCTTTTAAAATCAGTATCTAACATGACTAATAAATTTCTTCAATTTGATTTTAAAAGTTCATTTGTTTTGTTTTTTTCAGAAACAAAACAAAGAAAGGTGAGGTAGCTCAAGACTTTTAAACTGTACTCCATTATGATTTGAGCAAGATTATTTGCTATGAAAATGGAAGTTTTCAAGAATAGTTACCACTTACAACCAAAAATATTAAAATTGGACTATAAATTCCTTAGAAGTCCAATCTGGCATCAGCAGCAGCTCTCGTCCATGAGACCTTTCATGCATCTGTCCATCCATGCTCGTCTACCCTCCCCTGTTAATTAGTCAGATGGTGCTTGAGACTGCTTGCCAAGCCGTTCCCCTTTTGTCCTGTTCTGTTGCGCAGCTGAGTTTAAGGCCTTATTATTTTCTGACAAAGGAATGCTGGTGAATGGACATGAACTCAGACTCAAAGCAAATCCAACTATCCTTGTTAGTGAGATCACAGCTGTCACAGTGCATGCTGAGTCACCTGACCGACGGAGGCTAATGATGAACTAATAGCTGCTGTTAGATATTCACACAAATCTGTACACACAGAGGTGAAATATACATCTCCGCAAATGTATGCAAGTACCTGCTGGGAGATGCATAAAGCCTCACGTTCAGCCTCTCAAAGCCACACATATTTATGCAGCCGTCCACGCGCTCTCAGTGCCGACCTCAGCCGCGTACAAACTTATCCTCTTCAGCTGTGAGTCATTGACCTGACAAATGCAGTTTGTAGACATATGAGCTGTGGGATGTGTGCAGATGATATGAAGTTTGTGTTTGTGCTGTAAGACTTTGTCAACACGTCCAGTATTACAGCAGCTGTTTGCCGCTCTGTACACAGAGAGCAGTGGCAAACCTGCAGGGAGGGATTCGCCGGGGCTTGTGTGGAGCTCAGGAAACAAAATCTCAAAACCAATAAAGAGCAAATCCCTCACAAAGGCTGCCTGTTTTTAAATATATATTTGAATATTTGCTTTTATGTCTGTATCGCTGCTCATGATGCGGCTGTTGTCTTTTGAACCACTGTTCTTTCTTTTCTTTATCTTCTCTTCATTTTATTTCTGCAAAACAACCAGCAGGGGTGTCAAACTCATTTTCACCAAGGGCCACATGAGCGTTATGGTGGCTGTTGATGGGCCAGTTGTAATTAAGTTTGACTTTTCGTGTTTAATTTTGACTAAACAGGAAACATCATATTCGTCATATCATGGCTAAGGCTGACAGCAAACAATAACTGAGCTGTATGTGGTATTTTGTGTATAAAAACAGTGCTTAAAAGTGCCACCTACAATAGATGAACAATTATAGCTCACGAATACATCATCCAATCTGCACCAAAATTTGTATGTGTCATCAGTGACCACCGCTTGTGACACTGAGGTGACTAAAGACACAATGTGCCGTGATGGCCATTTTGAATTTCACTTTTGAGTTGTTTTCAGCCTTCCTAAGCCCTTTTTACAGGGTATTTGATACTTTTTGGTGGTTTTAAAGGGTTTCCTACCAATTGGATGGTTGTTTGTTGTTTTTTTTTTTTTTGTTTTTTTCAATTTTAGCTGATTTTGAAGTGTTTCTTACTGATGGGTTATTGTTTTTTTCATGAACAGTTTCTCTTATAAACACTGAAAATTACTACATGTACAACTAAATGTGAAATACATGTGATCTACAGCAGAGATAGCGTGTGCCTGCTCTGAGCTCATCCATACAGTATATTGCCCTCATCCCAAGATGTCAGTCTTGACTAATAAACCACTTAGCCTTGTTTGCTGCTTATCACAACATTAAACTCTTTAACGGAGATGGGGCTGATCTGATACCATACCAGTTGTCTTTTTCTCACTTCCCGTAGCTTAAAGAGAAAATGATGTTTTTCCCTCCTACATTGGAAGATTAAGCGATTTTATAAGCAGCCGAAAGCATTTTTTATCTGACTGAACGCAGAGGCAGGCGTGACAGGTGATGTAAGGTGATGACATCGAAAGAGCTGCAAGTTCCTTCACAGGATAAAAGACAGTGGGGATAATTCAGGATAATGAAAATGTATTTACCGGTAGCTTCAGAGGTCAAGCCGTATTCGTAATTTCCTCAAATCACAGCTGGTTGCCTTTTAAAGCCGGCCCTACTGATTTTATGGTCAGGAAGCTTGTGGTGTCAGAAGTGTTGGTCTGCCGGGTTGTTGGCATGGCGACAAATGGCAAATGTGCTTTACTTATATAAGTCCTTTTAACCTTAGAGGTTTAAAAAAAGAGAAAAAAGATAAAGCCCCAGGCCTGCTTGCTGGTTCATTTTGTTTTCTTGTTGCTTTCTGAAGGGCTGCTTGAGCCAAAAACACTTCCTGTGCCGTCTGTCTGTTTGACATAAAGGAACACCGTGTTGTAAATCGTTGCCACTCCAATTTATAACGTTCCGTCTGCGAACACGAGTGGGTAAACAGTTCAGATGGGTGGCATCTTCAGAGTCTGGTTTTCACTGCTTCGTGTCTGGTTATCTTCTTTTGCAGGCGACTCTTCAGGCACCTGTGGGGATCCTGGCACACCTGCCCACGCCAGCAGGGAAGTGGTGGGCAACTTCAAAGTGCGCAGCAAGGTGCGCTTCACCTGCGCAGTGGGGCACACGCTGTACGGCTCAGCAGAGAGGATCTGCTTCCCCAACGGCACGTGGTCGGGCAAACAGCCATTTTGCAAGCGTAAGGGGAACCCTTTATATGACATGATTTGAGTGGAAAAGAAAGGAATAACCGCACATTTTTGTCATAGATAAGAACACATTTAACTTCCTATGTTCACATTTGCTTAGTTGTATTGTTTGTTTGATGTCAAGGTTGTTTAGCTTTGCCTCAGAGATTATACATTCTGAATGAAAATATGTTCATCTATTATTTACTTTGTAAGAATGCAACTGATGATATGCAATTTAAAATATTTACGCAGTAATTTTTGAACTGCTAAATAAACTACAGAGTTGGAAGAAAGTGTTAGAGCCCAGATTTGCCAAAAGGTTGAGTGGCTTTTATTGTTGATTTATGCCGTGTTTTATGTAGGAGTGTTTTGCATCCATCTAATTCAAAAAGCCCTTGCAGTGGGCTAGGGGCTGGACCAAGATGAGACCACAACCATAAAAAATGCTTATGCCCTAAAACAGACAGTATACTGTACACCAATGTTGGGCAATATTGGCAAAAAACGTATTAAAATTTAATTGTGGCATTTAGGCAATAACAAAACGATTGATAGATGATAATTGCACTTGTGTATTTTTGAGCCTACCCTGTGTTGTAAGCTTGCCAATGTTAGCTAACTAGATTTACTAATATCACCTACACATAGTTTTTTGTACTTCCTTTCCATGATAAATGTTTGACATAGTCACCACCATCTCTGAAAGCGAAGCACTGCAGAATTTACAAGTCCCTGTATGTTTTCTCCTGGATGTTCTTTTATAAATCTATTCCTTATGATTTTCTCAGGTGAACTGTATTGCTGAAAATTTTGCAGACATCTTCTCCCAGATAACCACTGCTCACTTTCTTGGAGTGCAGCATGCGAGTGAATGGGGTGTGGGGATGTGTAACAGCAGTAACAAAAATACATAATTAGCAATGAGTTACACTTAGATTTGAATTGTCCACTTGTATATTGCCCAATTTATTTGTCAACATTTTTGCTTGAAAGCAAAAATGATGACAAATTGGACAATATTCCAGAAATTTAGTGATATTTCGAGACAGAAACCACCAAAATGTGGTCTTCAGACTGACGTTGAGTAACACTGCAATGGGGACCTTCACTTGTGACATCACGCATATCCCTTATATACATTGTTTGCACTCTCTCAAATGATTATTCAGACATTTTGTTAATATCATAGCAAATAAAGACCTTCCGGAAGTGAATTTCGACACATTTGGCCCCAGGAATCTCAGGAAAGCTTAATTGAAAGGTTAACTGGAGGGACAAGGTCTTTTACAAACTTTGAAATCAAGTTGAATTGTTAAAAGGGTTGGTGTTTTTACAGATGTTTTATAGCTTAGCTTAGCTACATTTATCTTGTGTGTCTGTTTTTATCTCAAGTAACTTCTTATGCATTGTTTAAAGAAATGGTGAGGTTTAAAATTTGAGAATATTACCCTATGCGACTGACACAGTAGAACGCTGTATGAGGCTAACATGAATGCTACGAGTAAGTTAGCAGTAGGCTACATTAAACAACAATATAAGTTTTTTTTTGTACCTGTTTATCAACCGGAAGTTCAAGAATAGGGTACAGGTGGTCTTGTGTTGGTTTTTAACCTCCGATAAAAGTTTTGGAGCAGATGTAAAGTCCGTGGTTGCACTTTTTTCCAGTTAGGTTCAGCTCGTCCCATATCTGGAATCCAGCTGTTAGCCTGTATCTTATGTTGGGAACAGTGACAAAAAAATACTTCTCCCATGTAGATGGCTGTATCCTGAGTCACTGTTACAAGTACTGTAGAATAATGTTCTGCGGTCCTTTCTGGTGGAGTTTCATGCTAGTTTTTCAAATTTATTAACGTTTAAAGACAGCTAAACCAGTGCTGCATACAAGAGTTTGAACACAAACCAGTGGAAAGCAGATATAGTCACGTGAGTAACGTTCTAAAAATAGCCTGAGTGGAGGTCCCCATTCACTGTCATTAGTTTCAAACGTTGTTGCATCAACAAATAAATTGGTAAAATAAAAAAATGAATAAAACCTAAGTGATTGCAGAACAATTCAACAAATTTTCAAATCCACAGGTTAACAATGAGAATCTCCTAAATAATATTTTATGGGGTAATTATTGCGAGACCCCACTCATGGCCCCACCTCAAGGCTGTCTGCAGCCAGGCTTTATGCCATGGGTCCAACTCTTCCTGTGGAATCAGAGGGCACAGCAACTACCTCTTGAACTGGAATAAAAAAACAAGAATCCATTTTTGAAACTCTATTCCAACAAATGCAAAAAAGAGCAAAAAAAAAAAACAGAAGTGATAGTAACTGTTAAACTGAGCCTTTTTTTTACAAAAGAGGACATGGCTCTTGCTCTTTGTAAAATTCTATATTTGTAATGTTTTTTTAAACGTCATGCGGCACTGATGAATGCGCTTGTTTTATTACGTCTAAAAAAGGGTTTCCAAAAATAAAAAAATAAAAAGGATGATAAGACAGCATCAAAAGATTTTATACCAAACTCTGCATCAACTGTGGCTTATAAAATTTTCAAATAGTACCCAGATCCAGTATAAACACACAAACACTGTCTGCAACATATTGGCTGCATTCTAGCACATACACAAAAGATTTTCAAAAAATCACAAACACAGTCCTTCACCAGATGGATAAACATCTCTTTGCTGCAGTCTGGTATTTTCTGCCAGCACATGGTACTGTGACTATCTTTCAGAGAGCAACCGGAAAATTCATTAATTCCAGGCACCTAAAACCACTTTTTTTCCTTTTTTTTTTTTTTTTTTGAATTGTGGTAAATGAATCATTGTGGATTTTTGAAGATATCAGCCCACTGAAGGCCAGCTCCACATCTTGCATAAATTACCCCCCAAGGGTCAACCGGATATTGAGGCAAATGTTTGACTGCTTCTTCTCTCCTCTACTTACTGTTCGCCAGCTTGGAACCGTGCCAGTGTCGTTTTTAATATAACAGGCCAATTCTCAGTTCCTCTGAACCTCTCTGCAGTGTATCTGCCTTTTTATTGCATCTCCCTTGTTTCTTGTCTTCATTCTCTCTCTTTCTATGCTGCTCCTTTGATTTCTCTTTGCTTTAATCCTGCCGTCGATCTGTCTCTTCGTCCCCTATCCACTTCTCCATCTATCCCTCTCTGTTTTATACCGTAGTCGCTGCTCAGCCTTTCCCTCCCATTCTTTTTCTTACCCCACATCTCTCCGCCTCAGGCTTTTTATCCCTCTATCTCCCAGCTGAAATCCTGATTTAAAGATTGTTTTAACCATCTTTCCAACTCAGGAGGGAGCAGGCCAGAATTCACTGGAGCCTGAATGAGTTTCATTGCTGCCTGTCTGTGATTTAAAGCCCCATATAGTGTTAAAGCTTATCCATCCATTATTCACAGCCTTTTACAATTTACAGATAACAGTCACTGTGAATATTCGGCTTAATAACCAGCTCACATGGCCATCAAGGTCTCGTTTTGTGCCATCACGGCTGTCTTCAATTATTGAGAAGGGGATCTGAAAAGATTGCCATGCTTGATTGTTGATAAAATCACACGGGAGACACATGCGTTGTCGTATGCTTGCGAGTGCAGTCTGAGCATCCGGTCTGATGCGATACACGATGTTCCTGAGTAATGTCTTCACACCCCGAGACGTTTGTGAGGGTTCATACCAGGTAAATGAGAAATCACCACCACGCTAACAGCACGTGTGTCTCCTACAAGACTCACTATTCCACATTTTCCAGGCAATTAGATGATTGAGAGAGCAGATCAGGTTTGTAATTAGACGTGATTTGGAGGAAAAGACAGACTTGTGAAACAAACTCGTCTCTTCTCAGCTCTTCGGGGATACATTTTGGAAGATTTGTTCAGAAAAAGATTAAATTAATACCTTCATCAAGACCCAGTTTTTTTTACTTTTCTGCACTGTTTGTTTTAAGAAAGATTACACATCTAAGTTTAGGTTATCATTTAACTAAAAAAGTTAAGTAGGTGCTCTGGATGGTTTCTAGAATAACTTGAACTTTTTTTTACCTGGATTGTTAAAATGCATCTGGACACTTATCATTTTACTGATACCCGAGTGTTTGCCGACCAGAGGCGTTAATTATCCCCAAAATGCTGTTTGGTTTTGTAGGCAGAGATAAATACCAAAAACAGTACTGTTGGATAAATTGTTTATCAAGAAACTTGACACAAGGAATGACGAACAAGCAACAGATCAGGTTACTGAGCTCAATATACAGTACTTGCAGCAAGGAGTTCATGTACAGACAACATACAATCTCATACAATGTCAGCAGTATGAACTGACTCTTTGTACAGCTATTGAGCTTTTAAAAGGTCTTCTACAAGAGAGTTAAGTGTGACCTCCTGTACTAGCATCTAAAGATGACACTCAAGACAAAGATTGTTTGAGGACTGTTGTCTGCTAATCTCACCTGTGTGTCATAAATGCAACAGCTCTTTGCAAACTAAGTAAACAGTTTAGGAAGTCAAAAGATTCATAGCTGTGCCATCACTCTTGCAACATTTCTGAGCAAAACATCTAATAAGACATTTCTCTACTCATTCTAAAGGTCATGGCAACAGTTAATATAGAGATTAAAACAATTACAAGTCAGCAAAAGTCTAAGTTAATGAACAAACACGTCAACGGCATTATAGCTTTTATAACTACATGAACCATAAAGTTTTGGATTACAATTTCGCCAGTGATTACAAAACTTTAAAATGAGAAAACAACACTTTATTAAGTGATGACTCGTCATTATTGCAGAGGAATTTTGCCCACCACTGCTGCTCATTTGTTTTTGTTTTTTTTTTTTGTTTTTTTTTATAAAGCTGTGATGCCATATCGATTATCGGTTCTTTCCTGGTTTGGCTCAAAGCTTCTCTGAAAGAAACTGCACTGTCACATGAAAACTGCAAACTTCCTCTACAAGCCTGTGTGGTCTCTCAGCCTTTTACTGACTCCTCCAGCTGAGCAGTAATCAGACTGAGATGAGAAACCACATGGATTTATGAGATCAGAAGCAAAACAGCTGTTATTTTAATAATGAATATTAACACACACACACACACACACACACACACACTCATGCACACACACACGCACACACACACGAACACAATATGAGAGGAACGGGCAGTTTCATCGCAGTTCAATCACCTTGAGATGCTCCGATGTAGTCTTGCAGCCAACCTCTGGGGAGGGGTAACTAACCCATCAGATGGTGAATCACTGATATAGAAAAATCCATTACTGTTTTACACCTCTGACCTTCACACCCTGTCTCCTCCTCCCCCCTCCACATGTATTGCAGCGGTGCAGTGTGGGAATCCAGGTACCCCTGCTCACGGACGCATTTCCCGCGTGGACGGCACAGCTTTCTCCCACTCCATCGTGTATTCTTGCACGGAGGGATATTTCCTCACGGGGTCGCCTACACGCCAGTGTCTAGCGAATGGGACCTGGTCGGGCGCAGCTCCAAATTGTACAAGTGAGTTTCGCCCGCACAAATACACGGCAGAAGGGTGAGGAGAAGAGGCCACTCAGATTCGCAGTGTTTACTTTGTACAAGGCAGAAAAAATCCAATTCTTTGTGTGACGTTAGTGTATTTTTAGCATACTAAACCAGAACAGCTACTGTTCCTCTTTGTGTGATGCTGAACAATGAAACTGAACATGAGCTGATAAACCGTTTTCTTTTTTTTTTTTTAATGTTGCTCCCATTTCTTCCAAAATGAAGCTTTCTGAGTAATCAATTGTAGCAAAAAAAAAAAGGTAAAAATATAAATCCTTGAAATCTCTCTTACTGCAAAGCGTCTAAACTGGCAGCCTTTATTGTCTTGATCTCAGCAAATGAGTCTGTCAGTAATTAAAAACGATGCCAGTCTATATTTAATTTGCACCAGAATGACTATCAAAGAAAATTACACATTGTTCCTTTCTGAAAATTACCATATTCATTTTTTTTGCTTCCTATTCCTTTAGCTTATTATTGTATTACAGGAAAAGATAAATGGTATGGGCATAATTTTCAATTCTGAAGTAAAATAGGTCTCTAGAGGGATATTCACAGGAAAGTAGGGGGAAGGAAAAAACGATTGAAAATTGGATTGAATAGTAATGGTCAAATGTGCAGAAATCCAGAAAAGCTCTCTTCCCTTTCCCCTCCCTCCCCCTTTACTTTAAAAGCTGCTCATCCCCAAACGTATTCTCCTATCTACTTTTCACATTAAAGTTTACTGGTCATCTCAGGGACATCAACACTTAAAATGCTGGGATTGGCTCATTGTGCCTTCATTAGGGAGGCAATCATTTTCACGGTTCATGGGAAATCGATCATGTAGCGTAGCAGATCAAAGTCACAAAACACTTTCAAGGAGAAAGACAAAAGTTTTTTTTTTCTCTTTCGAACTCTTGCTGTTTGAGAAATGAATTTTATGGAGCATGTTAAGGAATTAGCAAATTAGCTGAAGTGCATGAAAAAGTGACTTACTCAGTAAACTGAAGTAAAGCCATGAAGCCCTTAATGTGATAAATGGTAAATATAGATTTTTCTGCAAGACTATTTGTCTTATAATGGACTGTAGCTGTGATTTATGTCTACTGTTTTTCAGAGTCATCACTCTATTGGGGTAGACTGATATGAAAGATACAACTACTGGAAAACTTCAGATTATATCTAATAGACTTGCTGGGTACTAGATATAATCCAGATTGTTCCTATTCTTTATATTTCATTTTTTGCATTCTACATAAATTCAAAAGTTAAAAAAAAAACATAAATATTACAGATCATGTTCCATGATTGAGCTCAAAGTGCTTTGACAATGAGGTTAAAACAAGAGAAAACAGTACAGAATTCTTTTTTGAATTTCTAACCTCAAAGAACAGGTCAAACATTTTGAAGTTACCTTTTGTTGAAAGATTATGAAAAAGTATTTTATTGTAGAAAGCTCTTTGAACGGCCTCTAAATTGCTATAGTTTGCATGAGTAGTAATTAGAAACCTTTACATCACATATTTTATTACACAATTATTTATACAAACTTCTATGGTTGCTTGCGAGTAGAAATAGCAGCAGCAACAAGCTGTAGCACTTCTGGTGACATCAATTCATTTTACTCCAACTTGGACAAGTTATAACCAGGGGTGGAGCCAGAGGGGTGGCCAGGGTGGCAAGAAGTGCCACCCTTGCACCTGATTGGCCACCCCAGGAGTCACCCCCAAATGACGGACAAGCGGGGGTGGGGATCGCATCAAGATGGAATTAATATAAAGGCTACAATTAGACCACACCAAATTTCAGCTCAATACTTATAACAATTTTGCTGAATTGAGGCCATTTAAATTTAGCTTTGATGGACATCGTGAATTCTTTTATTTGATTTTAAAATCTGCTAGGCATCGCTCTCAGGTACCAGCACATTAAATTACAGCTTAGTATCTCTAAGAGCGCTCCATTTGAAATCAGATTTGGTTTATTTAATCTGTGTATTTAATGGCTGAATTATAATCCTTTGCAAAATTAGCATTAGAAAGTGTCTTAAATTGGGACTAGCCTTCATTCTTGGCAACACCACAACAAAGCAGTTCACTTGTTCAGCTCTTAAAATGTTGAATTATAACCATTTAAACTTAGCTGTGGTGGCCAGTTTAAATTTCAAACCAGTGTAGATTTTTTTAAATCCCTGTGCCCCACTAATTAACACCTTGGCCACCCCTGTCCCACCCCTAGCAAAAATGTCTAACTCCACCTCTGGTTGTTATTTAATCAATTCTGTCAGAAATAAATTCTGTTTCGTTGAACTAATGCTGCTCAAAGAGCTATCTACATCAGGAACAATATTCATTGGTTTTCACCTCCCTACAATATCCCATTTTGAAAGTTTTTTCCTATTAATTGTTCATAAATTAATCTTTTTTCCCCCAAATGGCGAATTTTCTTAAGAACAAGTCTGTTCTGAATGGAAAATGCTGTAATGTTAAACTTGAAAAAATATGTTTGTGCCTTTTCTACATTGTGCTGACTTGAATTATTCCCATTTCAAAATAGAAAAGCAGATATAAACGTTTACATTTACATAGACACAGTTTTCTCTTTTTGATTCTTCCCTGCCTCTCCTTTTCCACTTTCTCATGAGACGGGTGTGTTTGATATCTGCTGAAAGTGTTTGGAGCTGTCTTTTATTCAAGCCAGCTGTTTCTAGCTTAGAGACATATTTAAATTATGATAATGTGTCATTTTGATTCAGAATGGAAACAAACAGCCATTTAACAGTAAAAAAAACACACAAACTTACTCCCATAAATACACCAAGTGTAAGGGTAGAAATATCTACTTCCAGTTTGTGACAGTTATTCTGATAAATGTTGGTGATAGATGATCGCCTGTCTGTATGCAGATTCTCACTTTACTTCAAAATATAGTCTGTCATTTTCTGAGTTTGAGGTGCACAGTGGCACTTTCTTTTTTCTGACTTTTGCACAACCAAACTGGTGAAATTATCAGTGTCTTCTAAAAGCACATGCATTTTATTACCAGATAAAGCTGATAATAATGTTCCTTTAAATGATATAGAATGAACAGTTTATTTCTTTATTTTTTTATGAATAAAGGCTTGGATTCATAGAGTTTTAACTAGTAAGGTTAAACTAACTTGAACTAGGCTTAACTAGCTTCATGCTATGTTGCTTGGAACAAAATAAACATGAAGCTGTCTTCCAGAGCAGGCTGATAAAATGGTGTGGACAGTTCTGTGAACGATTTTAAAATATGTTAATTTATCAACGAAAATGCAGTTGAGGATTGTAAATAAATAAAACCTTTTGGTAATTTATTCAACATATTTTCATATGTTTGATGCTTATCAGAATTCACACCCTAACTATTTCTATAAATAATTTTGGTTTACAGCATGTGTTATAAGACAAAAATGATAATTTAAATTAAATTAAATATGGGCAATGGTTGTCATATTTTATTTGTTTTTAATGAAATGAATAAATGAATTAAACTAAACTATATATATTTTTCTTTTTATGTATGTCTGTGATGTTTGTCACTATTTAAGACAGTGCAGGAAAAGTAGCTAAGGCTCGACTCAGTAAATTTGTGTTATGGGTTGAAAACTTTGTAATCACCTAAGACTCTATTGGGGTAGTTTGTGTGAGTATGAGTACTTGTAAAGATGCTAGTACCAGGCCCGATACTAATACTAGTAATTGTATTGGGACATCACTAATCCAGATGGATGGATGGATGGATGGATGGATGGATGGATGGATGGATGGATGGATGGATGGATGTTATTCCATCAGAATTGTTGAAATTCTTGCTAGAAATGGCTCAGACACCGGAAGTGTTACAGCTAGCTGCCACCGCAGCTATTAGTGATTAAAAAAATGCAAAAGAATTTCATATATTTGACCATGTAACGTGTAACTGATGAGCATGTAAATGTGTTTAAGATAGATGTATGAATCATTATGAACTATTTTATGAACTTTGAATGTGGGCGGCATGACTGCTCAGTGGTTAGCACCGACGCCCCACAACAAGAAGGTCATCGGTTCGATCCCCGGTTCGGACCTGGGGTCTTTCTGTGCGGAGTTTGCATGTTCTCCTCATGCTTGCGTGGGTTTTCTCCAGGTACTCTGGTTTCCCCCACCCTCCAAAAGATGTACAATAGGTTCCTTTTAGACCCAGGCCGCCCTTGAAAAAGAGATCTGAGATCTCAATGGGACTTGCCTGGTAAAATAACGGTAAATAAAGAAATAAATAACATTCTAAGATTAACATTGTTTTTAAAACGTTAACAGTCCTCATTGGTCTTGGTCCCACTCTGACTAGCCATTTGCTTGTTGGTCCACTCAGAATTAACCTTTATTTCTCCAAATTGGGGATGACCAATCGATGAACAACAGGCAAAAGCTTTTTTTGATTTTTGATCACCTTTCTCAAGAACTCTTTTCCAAATATCTTTTCTAGCACTTCAAATGTTTTTTTTTTTGTAATTTTTTATTATTATTATTGGGATAGTGAAGACTGATGATGTACCTTGCATTAATGTTCGAACTACCCCAGTTAAAAGTTTGAGTCGAAGGTTTAATGTGAAGAAATGTTTACATGACTGAAAATTGTGTTGGCACAGCGCCAGTGCCACTCGTTGCATTTTTGCATTTATTAGTAAATCTGAATTATAGTAATCTTCTCATTTTGTACCACAGCTTTCAGGAGCTTGGTCTGGAATTGTGTTTCCTTCTTGGGCAGAAAGCAGAGATTAAACCAAGCAACAGATTCTAAACAAGTAGCTATTACTTTCTGCTTGGCTAGGTAGCACTTTGTGCGAGTGTGCAAATATCCTCATGTGTGAGATGACAGCCCAAGAAAGTAGTTTACTACCCACAATGCCTGTGCAGTCAAAAGAAAATCAGATATGGCTGACAGGTTAGTTTCAGTGTGCACTGCAGGCATATTATAAATGACTGCGTCTCAAGCATCAAATAATTGCCATTTGCACAGCCATTTATTCTTCTGACACATATTACATGATGCTGTGTGGAGAAACCTTTCTGGAGGTTTTAATATGGGATTGATCCAAGTGAACAAAAAGACGCACAACAAATAGCATTACAGTACATTTCAGGCGAGCATCAAGGCTGCTGATTTTCTGCTGTTACTTGACATAAAATCAGTGTTTGTGAGGGGAAAACTAATATGTGTATTTATTTGATTCATTATTGGCTCAAGCAAGAATTCCACTTTCATTCACCCAAGACTGCATTTAGGATTTATCTTTACCAAGTAAATCCTTTTTTGGACACCAATTTGGTCCCACGCAGCAATAAACAAACACAAGTGTTGAAGTGGTTGGCAGCGAGTGAGAATCAACAAATTGATTTACAGTAGCAGCGTTTAGCTGAGGCATATGCGTCATGCTGGCTCCTTACACGAAGGTGAACGAGTCAGACTAGATGTTCTAATTAGTTTGCATAAATCGTGGCGTGTGAAATTAATGCAAGGACTATGAAAAATCAAGTGAGAGACTGGCAACCATAACTGAATCAGAGATGGCACCGGGTGAGGACCTGACAACGGAGTCGGCCAGCACTCAACCATCTGTTTATTTTGAAGAAAATTAGCCATGAGAAGCGGCCAAGAGCAGGCGTGGGGAAAATATTATCAAAGTAATTATTTCAATTAGGTCCTCCATTTTAATTAGACAAAAAAAATTATTAACATTTTAAATTGTGGACATGAAAACCCCACGGTAATTGTTTCTATAACAATAACAGCAGTACAGATGTCTCTTTCATATAATTCAGACTGTAGATGTAAATATGTTGATCAGGTCTTTTGTTAAAAGCTAGTGTGGTTGTTGTTAATTCATGTACTGCACTTTATATATAAAAGTGAATACCTTTGAAATAATTTGAATTGCCACTTGAGAGGCAGCCAAGTACACTGACAATTTGTTGTTGTTTTTTTTAATTAAGAAAACCCATTCCTACAAATCTTTAATTTATTATTGGAATGTTTTAACTTTCAGCTTTGATTAAAAAAAGTTAACATCCAAAAATGAAGAAACCAGTTTGGACTGACAGCTACTCATAATGTAAATGTAGATGTAAAGCTGATTTTGTAACTTCATTAGCAATCTTTCAGCCTGGCCCTTGCCTTCCTACGCAGCTCCGCTCAATTCTAGTTTCCCTTCWCTGCTCCGTCTGGGATTTCTCCCATGGACAAGGATTTCTTTGGGAGCATTTTATTTGGGCCAATCAAAGAACAGAACGTCGATTTTCTGCACAGTGTCTGCTTGTAGTTTATTTTACCTGGGCCAATCAACAAACAGAAGGCGGAGTTTTGAACTTTGTTGATTTTCTGCACAGTGTCTGCTTGTAGTTTATTTTACCTGGGCCAATCAGCAAACAGAAGGAGGAGTTTTGAACGACGTCGATTTTCTGAGCAGTGTCTGCTAGTTAGTTTAGCATACGGCAGTGGAGGAAGTGAATGAAGCCAGTCCGTGTTGATAAGACATTCAAATAAATTATATTTGTCTGACAAAGCAGCAGCTCTCATTTACAGTCATCTTGTTCGGCTCGGTACTTCTCTCCTCTCAGAAGAGTTGTTGACAGCACACGTGATTTCCGGTTAGCTTCTCAGCTTAGCCTCCTTCACAGTGGAGCTGGCACGCACACATTGCAACCAACCGATCCAATCGTTTTAAACTTCAGCAGAGGCCACGCCTCCAGCAAGAATCACTTCTCTATAGCCAAGAGTCCAGACCCTCATATGAAGCCAAGCGAAGGACAATTTAACAGGCTAGCAATCTTTCACAGTTTTTATTTTTTTCTATTTTTTTTTACTTTATTTATTAACCTTTATTTAACTATGCAAATCCCATTAATATTACAGATTTCTTTTGCATTTCTTTTTGTTTTGCTTTTTTTATTCTGTGGGTGAAATTGGAGTGTCTGGAGAAAACCCATAAACATGAGGAGAACATGCAAACTCCACACAGAAAGACCCCTGGACTGACACGGGTATAGAACCCAAGGCTTTCTTGCCGCGAGGCAACAGTTCTAAACATAGTCTTCGTACTTTTTGGGCCTTTTTTTATTTCAATAACAGTTATTGAAAAACAACAAAACAGATGTTTATTCTATTTTCATTTTATACTTCAAAAAACAAGAAAACTGTCTTTTTTATTTTCCTCAAACCAAACATTTAACCCTGTTCTCAAGGCAACTTGACACTGTCCAGTGTGGAACCTGCTGGGTCTTACAGTTCCTCTCCATGGTCCTCTTGGAGAAAGGTTTAATGTGCTAAATGCACCAGAAGCTCCAGGAAACAATTTGAATCATCAGTGACACCTGTGAAATGTGAAACTAGTTAGCTAGGGTTTTATAATTGTGGCTGCCCGGTTAGCTTGTTATCAAGTAAAACATGCTTATTCATCACATTATCAAATGTTTTAAGGAGGAGCTAGAGAAACAGTTAAAAAAAGAAATTAGCACTAAATATTTTGTAAAAATACAATGAAATGTAAAACTAGTTAGATTTTATTTATTTACAGGCAGCTGCCTGTTATTAAAGTTATTTATAGATCCATCTTAAATAGTCTGATAATGACTGTGTTAAACTTCCAGTTTGAGAAAAATAAAAAGATGGGCCGTGTTCCAATTTTTCAAGTATAAAATTAAAATAGAATTGCCAACCACTTTTCAATTTTCAATATCTTTTTAAATGAAAACTGAATCACCAAAAAGTACACAGACCCTTTGCTTTTACTGTAGGTGTGTTTTATTTCTTCATCTTTCTGTTTGTTTTCTTCATATAAAATTTGGTCTCTGCTGGGTTAAGACATAGATATAACCTGTACAAACAACTTTCACTTATATACATAAAACAGTGCTTTTCATTCAATTTTATTACCTTTTTTAACCCTTTTGACTTAATTTGTTTGATTTATAAACTTAACAATAAAAGTCCTCCCAGGGCACTGTGCAAGATCGCAACAAGTCCAAATCATATCAAATTAGTACAAGCTAATTTAATTCAGTCTAAAATAGATCCAGTTTCAAGTCAGATTACACTAAATTCTATCCAATAATAAAACAGTCAGATTCAATATATTACAAATGACAAATCAGTACAAAGTTGTCAGTTTTGGAAAACCAGAATATTGCACTGAGTTATCACTTTGACACAGTCCCTCATTGTGAGCATTCACAGGGTTGTGACTGACAATGCAGAAGGACGACCCACTTTAATAGGAAGAGCCAGAAACGAGCTCCGAATGCATTTTCTGTTGTTGTTAATGGATTTGTTGTGGTTTTGTAATTTGCAGCTAATTAGCATTAGCCAGCACAAAAATGACTGTAACTCAGTCAAACTTGTGTTGAGCTAAAACTCACCGTGGTGGTAGCTGAAAGTCATTTCAACATTATTTACCATAAAAACAGTATATTTATTTATTTAATATGTATTTAATTTCAGTCATTTTCATTTTTGGTCACTTCAGCATTATGATGGATCAAGTTAATTGTTAGAACTCTTTGTAAAATCTGCTTACAAGAAGATGATCTTAACATCATACCATTTATAAGTAGTAATTTAGAGTAATGATAATATATTGCGAGTCTAACATGTCTATCCAACATGTGCACTTTATGTATAAAAGGGTAAATTACCTTAAAGTTTTAATAAAAAAAAAAAATCCTCAAGTAATTTTTGAGCCAGGTTCCACACAGGTCTGTTCACTCTTGTACAGCGGCTAAATGATAACTTGTCAGTGACCATAAAGGCAACATTGCAATATTTCTTACAGTACAGTAAGTAGAGACAGCAGTGAATAGGTTGAATCAATTTACAGCTGCTCTAAATCAGTTTTAACCTTGCAAGTGACAGACAGCAGGGGAGCAATTAGCAAGTACTAATCATTGCTGCACAATTACCTCCTATTTATTGATGATCTTTCAGTCCTGAGTTTCTTGTACAAAGTTTAGCCTTTCACTGCAGTAACAATGTATTCTCATGGTGAAGAATAGTATGTATAAGTGCAGTTAGATCTTGTCAATGTTATTTATTTATTTATTTATTTATTTATTTATTTATTTATTTATTTATTTATTTATTAGATTTTTTAACAAATTCTCTTTGACAAATATTTAGTCGGAAATGCTGTACCATCACATTTTCTAATAGCTTTTATTCCAAAATATCAAGTGTAATATTTTTGAAAAAATAAATAAAACAGTGGCGCAATGAAGAAGTCTTCACAGTTTAACTTAAAATTTTCAGGAAAAAGGCTTGCTTTACACGTTGCTCATTACTCTCTCCTCATGACACAAAGGAAGATTTATTTCCGTCAGCCACTTTACTGAGAAATGGCTTTCATTTTGTCTTCAATTTTTTTCATGGTGCAGCTCGTGTTTTATTCATTTCACATTATCCAACCTGTTTTTGGATGTAAGGTCTGCTTCTTTCCACTACCGGTTACAGTGATCACCTGCGGTGAGCCTGGGATTCCAGCTAATGGACTCAGATTTGGCGATGATGTCACCGTGGGCCAGAATGTGACGTTCATATGCCAACCAGGGTATGTGATGGTTGGAGGAGAAAACGCAGTGGGTAGGACCTGCACCAACAATGGAACCTGGAGTGGAGCCATTCCAATATGCCAAGGTAAGCATCCACAAAACACACATTGTACTCTGTGCTATACTCATGTTGGAGTTTTCCACTAGTGCCACTTAGTGTAGTTTCGGTACGGTTTGGTACGGTTCACAGCCATTTCCATTAGGCCAGATCCATGGAACCGGCACATTTTTTTAGTACCTACTTCACTGTGGTTCCAACCGGCCCCAGCTGACACCAAAATGTGACGTCAGAAATGTTCGTCACTGATTGGCTAAATTTTTGCAAATGTTTCAAATTTCAGAAGTTATTCATCAAATGTATTTCCAGCTCTCATTTTGCCCATTAACTTTTTTTCAAAATGCCTAAAAACCACCTCCACCAACCGCCCAAAACACCAACTGGAACCGGACTAGAACATCAGTGGAAAACCATCCGGTCCGAACTGTACAGACCCGTACCTACACCGACCGTTCTGACACTACACCATGGAAAAGGGGCGGCGAAGCAGGGGCTGTCTTTCAAACAACTACTCAAAGCAGGAGTTTGTAGACATAATTCCACCTCTTCATCAATACATTATTGTTGTATCACTGATCATAGACTAAAGCTCCATCTTCACCAGATAGTTTTTAAAACATTTTGAATGCTTTCCAAAATGGAAACATTTGAATTTGTCTCTTGTGGAACCTATGGACTGAAAAAGCCGAGCATTGTAAATAAAAGTGTTGATGCCCCTAATGTGCACTACCATATACACTTTCTACTCAAGAAAGCAAAACAATGGGTTTTTTTTACTCTTGGTTTAACTTTATCCTGATTCTATCACATTTTGTTTTAATTCCTTAATGAAATGGATAATAACTGAGAACAATTATATTCCCCACAAAGCAAAATGACAAACACGTTTAAAAGAACATTTTACCCAAGAAAATATGTAAAAACATATAGTTTTAATAATGTGAATTTTCTCATCTCCTATAGTGGCACAGCAATGGTATATCAGTGTTTTGCTATAATCACCTGAAAAAAAACAAAAACTTAAGTTAAAAAAATCCTGGGTGTTAAATCTGTTTTACATACTGTAAAAATATAAAAATGTTTAAAAACAAATGGCAATAAAAACAAATCTAGTTTTCTGATTTAACCTTTATTTTACCAGGCAAAACATTAAGAATAACTTCTTATTTACAATGTCAGCCTGGCGGGTGCCAGAGACACTCATAGGAAGAGGCTGTGTGAATTGGGAGAAACAAAACATCAAGCACACAACAAATCCAAGTCACATAGAGAATATATCAGATAAAAATATAACATACAATATATAAAAACAAAAGATACAGCATAAAAGACATGGTGCAAAATGTACCCAGTATCATAAAACATAATGCCTAGCATTGACAAATCAGTGATAGTAGATAAAGCTCATGTAAAGCTGGTTTAAACTGACCTATAGGTACAAGTAACTGTAGTTTCAGATAATTTTGAAAGTTATTCCATGTGGAAGGGGCAGCGTAGCTAAAGGCATTTTTCCCAAATTTTGTCCTGATCCTATCTATATAAAATCTAAATCTATCTTGTGTTTGGACAATTCACCTCCAAGCTCAAAACACAAAAGGATTGTGGTCTAAATTAAAAGCACATGAATAAAAAACCCATGCAAACGCAAAAAAAAAAAAATAAAAATAAAAATAAAAACCTAACAAAGCAATTTCCTATTTAGAAATAATAAATTGTGAGATATAAAAATACCAAAGGTTGATGAATGTGTTAGAGCCATTGATAAGACTTTACTGCCAGAAACCTAACTAAATCATACTAAAATAAACACTTTTTTCACTAGAGATAAAATGAACCAGAGACGAAAGTAAAGCAATAAATCTAAAATGAAGTAAGAAATTCAGAGACTACAGAAAGCACAATTAAAATAATAAGAGATGAAGTAAATCTGACTAAAATGCTCATATGCAGACCTTCCTGCTTGAATTTGTAATTAAAAGTGGTAAAAAAAATAGCTATGTGCCCTGCAGCTATTTGTCACACACAAAAACATTAATGAGACATCAGTTTCTGTGCCGCTCCAATGAGAGTAATGGTCTAAGCCTGCCCACTTGTTTAAAAAAAAAACTTTGGCTCTGCTGCTGAAAACAGTCAACCTTGATAGCCATCAGCCTCTGATATAATAACCTTGGCACACCAGCACAACGTCACGTAAAATAAAAAGCGCATACTTACTCCCGGAGATCTGATGAGATTAGCAGGAAAGGTGACAAAGGACTTCCTGTGTGGTTTGGTGGCGACACCGTTCACTTAACCCAAGTTCTGCTGACACCTCAGTAACGTCTGCACTACAGGAAGACTTACACTCAGCAGAATACTCTGGATATAAATCAAAACTTGGAGAAAATATACAACTATAAAAATCTAGATTTTCTAAAAAGTTGTTTGTCTCAGTACATGATGAATATATGCCTATATGTGTATGTAAAATATGAATTTCTCTAAGTTTACTTAAAAAAACTCTTCCTCTCTATAACTCTGTGTACATTTTACTTTTAATATAAACTCCAACAAAGGACTTTGTAGTTGTACGCCCATCAACGATACATCAGTGCATGATTTATGATCCTTGAGCTGAGGCATAGATTAGCATTTCTGCTGCTGACACCATAAAGTAAGTGTTTCAGGAAATATTACTGTGTGCAGAAACCAGTTCAGATGTGCACCAGGAAATGGAAGAACCTACCAGACAAATGGTGGCTCATTGTTTGTTAAGGAACTGTTCCCGGGCTGCCGGGTCCGCTACTGTACAGCAGAGCAAACTTTCATTATGTTTGCCTCTTGAAAAATGGCAAGGGACGAATTAAATGTAAGAGAATAGAAGAGCCATAGTTTGAGAGACTATCAATTACACCCATAAAGCCTGGAGCTCGTGCATGCTTGTGGAAAATCAAATGCATGGGGCAGCAAACTACGTAGCAGACAGGTGTGGGCCAGATCTGGTGTCAACTTGGCATTGCTGGCTGACTGCTGGCGTGGCAAGTGGTTTGTCAACCTGATGTGAGCCAGGTCTGGCAATCATGGGACTGTTTTTAAAGATGGTATGCCACAATTGATCCAGTTGTCGTGTGGTTTATGAATCATCTCTGGCAAACCACATCTGGGCCACCAAAGGGCCGCCATTCCTTGCAGTAAATGGGCCCAAGTGTTGGTGCAAGGTGTGGGCCAGAGTTGCGCCAGAAACATTTTGCTATCTAAGTAGCTTCTATTGTAGGATGAATTGTTGATGTAGATCTCTGTCATCCTGGACATAAATCCTGAAAGCAACTGAACTTCTATTTTGAAGTGTCTCTTCCTTTACAGTGGGATTTTGCATTCAGAACTGGTTTGGACTGATTATTAGAGAAAACTACAAAGCTTTTTTGTTTTATTATCCATACATATCAAGTTGTACCAAATGTCCATAAATTACACAGACTTTCTTCCATTTTGCAGATAAACAAACACATAGGGCATTTTTGTCTTTTAAATCTCCCAGATTTTTTTTAAACATCAACTTTAAATAAATTTTATGTATCATTGCCTGTAGGATGTAAAAAGAAAGCAATAAATAAAGTTAAATGACCATCTCTCAATCCACTCTGCTGCTCGAAATAAGTATAAATACGTAATCCACCAGACCCCATCCTCCTTTTCCCTGCTCTGACAGTCCGCCTTCAATGCATGTGAGTACCGTAATGCAATTTTTTCAGGAAAAGTACGAATATTTGAGTGTCAGATGTCGCTAAACATCCAAAGGGGATGACATGATTATCACCCTGTCTACCAATGGTTGTTTCTCACCACCTAAAGGCAATGGCAGACAATATTGTTTTTGCCATTTGCTTTGTTTCATGTGTCTGTCCTTCAGAAAAACATCTCCTGAACATCAGGACAAAGTTATTAAAACTCAATAATGTTTAATCACTGGATGTACGTCTTCATCAACTGTTGAATTTTTGAAGTCTGTCCTAATCAAAAATGCTGCCTTCTGATCAACATGGCCAAGACAAAAAATTAGGTGTGACAAAGACTGAGTGTCATTAACTGTATGTACGCTGAGCATGATGTCACGTGATGTTGCATTTCGTCAAAACGTTGTAAGGTTTGACTAAAATGGCTGCATTCATTCTCAACAAAAGATGCCCTTACTTGAAAACTCTGGCTTTAAAGCCAGAGGGCAATATATATTACTTTAAAGAATTTTAGGTGTTTATACATATTTTTGTATCACACACTGGCATAACTTTAATTTGTCACTGAAGCTCTTACATTCTGCTCCCGTTTTCTTTTTCTTTTTTTTTTTTTTGAGCTGCGTGCTTTTTGCCCTCCTTGGTCTCCATGTGCAACCCTGCGAGAGCTTACAACATCTAGACTGACACTGATTCGCAACCGTTCATGTGTGTGTTTCATTATTCACACAACCTGCTCCATTACATGCTGAAATAGTTTGATGTGTTGATGGTCGCCCAAATGTGACACACATCTGTTTGATTGTTGCGAGTGGGAGAGCGAGCCTGAGCGTGCACACAAGTGTAAACAAAAGTTTCTTAACCTTCCGCTTTCCGACTGACAGCTCCTGCAGCGGCTCCCGCACTCTGTCCAGCTCGTTTTGTTTTTGATTTTTTTTTTGTTTGTTTGTTTGTTCGTTTTTTCTGGGAGTGGCGTAAAGTAGCGGAGCTGAACGTGTTAAGTTTAGCTTCCTCACCACGCACACTGATGTATGTTCATACAACCAAACGACTTCCTGCAATTGTGGACTATTTTTTTTCTTTCTCTCATGCATACAGTGCATACTGTATTCACATAGTCCCACAGATTGTTCCTTGTCCTCGTGTTTTCTCCCAACATTGCAGCTGCAGTCTGAGCGCTGTCAGCTCATGTTGACCTGCACACATTAGTCAATGACCCGTGGGGTCCCTCCTGCCTCTTCTCACACACTCAATTCTCCAGTAGCACTTATTTCTCTCTCGGGGTAAATGAATAAATGAAAAGCAGGGGAGGGGAGCTTGATTGCCAAGTGGGTCCTCTTCATTAATTTTGCCTTTTCTCTGTGTGGATTGGGTATTAAAACAGATTTCAGCTGTTTCAAGGTTTATGTTTCCTTGTCATGACTATTTTTCTATTGCAAGCCAACAGAAAATCACTCTATTAATCATCCCTCTTTTATCGTCTTTCTCATCGACAGCCTACGCAGCGAGATGTTTTAAGAAAGACTAATATATTTTCTTTAATCTAAAAACTGAGATTGATTCCTGTGAGATTACTGCCCCCCACCCCTTTTTTTGCATGATTGCCTGTAAGTTGAACCTGCAGCAGTTCATGCAGGATGGGCTGTTTAAAACTGTCGTGAAGCGGGGCATCTGTCATCTTGTCATAGATTTAGATGACGTGCCGTGGGGATCTGAGCTAAGGGGAACGGTAAAGAGATGGAGAGGAAAGTAAAATAAGAGGAAGGCAAGGCAGAGAGAGACAAATGGAGGCTAGAAGAGACAAAGAGGTTTTGCATGTGCATAATTCTTTTTCTGTTTTGCACGGAATGTGGGAACATCAGGGGTAGCCGCGGCGTTTTGTTTTGTGTGTGATGTTCATACACACGCCGCAGATGACGCACCCAAAGCCTCGACCGGCACGGATTCCGTTTGAATCCCTGGATTGGCATGTTCGGCTAAGAGGCACTAATGCTCTAATGCTGCTTAGAACTACTTAGGAAAATGAGGCCACTCTCTGCTTCCTGTTCAGTTCTGCCTGCCACCCATGCCTGAAGGGTTTTTTTTATTCGTGTTTTCAAGTAACTTCTAAAGCAATGCTTATGAGATTAGAGGGCCTATGCCTTTAATCAATGTAATTTGCCTCACTTTTGCATACGAGTTCTCAAATGCTTGTTTTCCTTCACATTTGATTCTCTTACACAGGCAACCTGCAGGATAACCTACACAGCCTAAACAGAAACCAGCTGCAACATTTGGTTATGTAGTTTAAAGTGAAGCACATTTTCTGTTCCAGGACTTCACGGTGTTACCTCATTTATTCAAAGACGATCTGCAGTTTTTGCTTAACTTCCTAAAGGAAGTGTTTGTTGTAAACTTTCTTCTAGTCTGAAACTTGTGAAAATACAACAATACCAGGCAGACTAGCGGGAAACAGATTGCATCATCATTGTGGTTTTTTTCTTGACTCTGAACTTCTATTCATCCTGGCCTAAATACGTTTCCAAACATAGCTTACCGGTGAAGCATCTATATGCTGTGTAACTGCTGCAAAATGTCCATATGGAAATGACTTTGGATCCGCTGCCAACCGAGAACAAAAGATGGTTCCTCCTCTGAGAGAGTGACTGAATATCCCACTGAGGTCTGTTCCATATTTATAGTTGCTCGCTGCTTAAAAACCAAACAAGGAAATCAAAAAATGTGGCGAGAAAGTTGATCTTGAAACTCTTGCCTGATTTTCACACAGTCATAATCTTGAGATGAGGATCAGTTGTTGGATTTCAGATGTGCTCTAAAGAAAGAAAAGTGTTAGGTAAGTGCTTAAAGGGACAGTTCAGAGCTTTTGAAGAAGGGTTTTGTGGAAAGGTTGTGAACAATGAATATTTTATCTGTTATAGATACTTTGGACAACCTTAGTTTGGAGAAGTAGTTCAGATTTGACCAGTCTGATGAGTTATTTTGAAAACTACTAAGGCCAAAGTTAATTACTCTCAAATTTTTTTCTTGAAACTATTTTATATCTTTACATTGCTGTACATTATATGTAAAACAAATCTTTACATATAGTTCTTTGGTTGTTTACGCAAACAATAATGAGAGCACTTCCAGCAAAAATATCTGAATATTTCTGCAGAATTAAATGAATAAAGCAAAATTAATTAAAGCGTAAAAAACTATAATAATGTTTTCACATGAATTGGAATTGTTTTAAGACTGTATTATATTAATTTTGATTCAGCCACACTCTATCAACTGGACAACCTGGTCAGAATTTAGCTTCATATTCCAACACGGAAATCATTCAAGGAGCTAGCTATCTATAACAGGTAGGATATTTACTGTTGAACTTTCCACATGTCTACATTTGGGAGGAAAAATCTGATTAATCCTTTAATGAAATGAAAACTAAACAGGTTGTCTAAAGTGTCACATTACATGACATGCTTTTAAAATAAGATTTTTTTTTTACTTGTTACTGTTTTGATTCTTGTTTCTTAACCTACAGAAAGTTGGCATCTAATTAAGTTTTGAAACTTTGCAGCTAAAGTAAAAATCTTGAACCAAAACCAGACTGACTTTAACAGGGTTCCGACAGATCCTTAAAAAAGTCTTAAATGGCATTGAATTCATCAATCCAAAAATAAGGCCTTTTTTAGCCTTAAAATGTCATAAATCAATCTGTCAGAAGTCTTAAAAATGTTAACACATTGTAAAAAGGATGATTGTAATTTCTCTCAAGTATTAAAATAATTGGTAACATTTTTTTAAACGTTCACATGCAGACATTACTCTTAGACATCACTTCCTGCTGCTTCACATGCAAATGTCTCAACAACCGTCTGTCTGAGCATCGTGAAATTTGTTTCATAATATGTTAATAATGGTGTTTTTCCAAAAATGTATTCACATTTCTTACAAAAACGTTGATGCCACAGGCACTTTAAGGTTTCATCCACAGCAAATTAGGGTTGAGACCCCACTGTAGGTCCTAAAACTTCAAATTTTGGGTCATTAGAGAATTTCCAGGAATTAAATTAAGTTTAAAACTGGCTGCTAAGAATGTTTCTGCTATATTTGACACAAAAAAGCAGTTTTATATGGTTAAAACAATTGGTTTATTGGGAATATTTGAATACTTCAACCAAAAATACTTTGATTCATGAGTTTCTGCCAGTTTTTATTTTTTAGTAATTTGTGTTTATTGTGAAATTGGTCTTAAATTTAATTTAATTTGGCATTAAAATGTCTTAAAAAGTCTTAAATTTAACTTACCTTAAACTGTAGGAACCCTGTTTAGGCTTCTAATAACAAGCTGTAGTTTTTCTATTGTTGCTTTGACATGTTTTTCCCCAAAGCTAAGAGAAAGTTGTAAACTTGGTTTGTCTGAGCTATTACAATGAGGTTTGACTTCTAAAGATGCCAACTAATGTTTGTGGTATTTGAGGTCCTGCCCTGTGCTGAGAGGCTCACAAAGTCTGCTTTATCTAGCTGCTACTCTGTTATTTTGTCCTACAAAATATAAGTGCTTCAGACCGAAAAAATAAAATCTTACACTGAGTTCTTAACATGACAGTTTAATTAACTTTATTAACTAAACATGTGACATTGCCAGATAGTTTTAAGGCTTATCAAAAAGGCACTCAGTCATTTTATCAATGTTTATTCAAGCGTTTCACCATAAACAAGGATGCCTAAAAGAGACACTTGTGGAAATGAGGGGTAAAAGGAACTTATATAATTTATTCACATCCCTAAAACCCATATCCAATCTGCATCCCCACGGGTTCATCTCCAAGTGTGTGAGAGCAAACTCAGAGCTTTATTATGCATTCATTTATCGCATTTGTTGAGCAGGAAGTTTATGGCTTTCACAGATGCATAATGTCCCCGTATTTCCCACCGATATCATTCAGTGTACTCCGAACAAAAACACCGGAACGATCCCTCACAGTCAAAACACAAAATGTTTCTTTACAACAACCTAGATTTCACTCAGACATAACCACTGTGTGCAGAATATGAGCCGCTTCTATTGTTTTATGATATCCTTAAAACAGCACTATAATTTAATGCAAAAGTAGAGAGAATCTCTGTTTTCTGTCCCTTTTAATCTTCCTCGTTTTGCACATTTTATCGCCTTAATGATTCCTTGCCATCATCACCAACAGCTTTGAGTTAAATTTTTGATAGAACTATACGAGTCAGGTTTAAATGTAATCTATAGAAACATTGATATTAATTCAAAACTGACAACACTGCCTGTTCACTCCCTGCTGTCCTTTTTTGTTCAAAGCTGAATAAAGAAAGCAACATTTCTAAAGATTTTTTATGACTGCTGCCGCTTGTGTCTTGGACTATAAAATTCGATATTTTTATGCCCTTTGACTTTTTCTTTTCTATTTCAAAGACATGCCTCCATTCCCAAGATAGCAAGTCTAACAGGAGATGGTTTGACCCCTTGTAAGGGTCTCAGAGAGAACGCACAAAGATCACCAAAGATATTTTTAGCAGTTCAGCTAATTGTTGTTAGCTAACTTTTCTGTACAATGTGTTTCCAGTTTTTAACACTCTTTTCTGACCTCTTCTGTTATTGATTTTAACATTTTAAGCATTAAGGTTTTCCTGTTTATTTATTATTATTATTATTATTATTATTATTATTTTGGTTTTTAGTCTTGGTCACCTTTAAATTTCTTCTCGTTTCATGTGCATAAACTGCCATCTTAGTGTCTTTGTCCTCGCCGTCTCCACAGTGGTGACATGTCCCGCGCCGCCCTCCGTACCCAACGGCCTCCTGGAGGGTTCAGTCCTGGAGTGGGGCACCAGCGTGAGCTACAGCTGTCTGCCCGGCTACGAGCTCTCCTTCCCCGCCGTGCTTACATGCACAGGCAACGGCACGTGGAGCGGAGACCTGCCTCAGTGCTTGCGTGAGTCACTGTTTTCCTCCTTGATTTATACCTTACCATCATAATAATTAGGATGATATTTACAGATGTCTGTAGAGAAAACCTCCTTGTGTTTTGACTGAGATTTCTGTCTGGAAAAAAGTTTTCATAGCTTTCTTTGTTAAAGTTGTGACATGTCTTTTGACTGTACAATGCAGCACTTGTGTGCTCATTTATAGCCTGTCAAGGTAAAAACCTGTTTACATCGAATTAAAAGCTCGCCGTTTCTGGTGATTATTTCAAGTTAATGAAATTAATGAAATTCGTAAAAAACTAATTTAATTCAACATCAAAAACTGAGAGGATTAAGATTCAAATGAAATCTGACAGTCAGAGTTGCAGATTGGAGATTATTGGTGTTGCTTCTTGTTGCAACATCAAGTTTTTTTTTCTTTTTCTTAGCAGTCAGTCATACTTAAAACCCTGTTGACATTTTTTTTCCTTTTTTTACATTATTTACTATATTTTCATGTAAAAGCTACCAAGTTATGTTTGATTAAATAATAAAGTATTAAGATGGAGAACATTAATCTCCTCCTCTTCTTATTAATAAATCAATAACATTCATAATTAGTGCACATATAATGAACTCTAACTTTCACAGAGTGAAAAATAAATAAGTCTCCCCTCAGAGCCAGAGTTACCGTGTTGAAGAATAAGATGATCTGAGCTGAGCCAGGAGGGAATTGTATTAAACTCTGTACTCCATTAAGAGCTTCTCAGAATCTTCTTTACGAGCAAACTAATAAGCTCCACTCTGCATGACTGCTCAAATGATATCTCACTGTCATCTGGCTCTGCCATGCATTACTTTTGTCACGGAGAAGTGAAATATTAAGAGATAGAGTACTTACTTTTTTGTTTTTCTCTGAATCTTGGTTCCAAATAAAATGAAGCAAATGTAGCTTAAAATGTTAAATTTAACATTGAAAGAATTGAAAGATTTTTCTTTTCCAGAGATTTTCAACTGGAGTTCTGCAGAAAGCATTTGGCATTTAAAGTCTAACCTGTTTTTGAGTTATCTTAGTTTGAAGTTTAATTCTGATCAGACTGACAACTTAGCGGCTCATCTGAGTAGGCCCAGTCGATTGTTTCTGAATGTTTCTCCAATCTGAAAAATGTGAACCCTTTACGTACGTATTGTATCAACAAACCTGCTGTCTCTGCCTTCTCTTGTTGTTTGAAGTCAGCAGCACTTGTTTTACAGAAGCTGCCACATTGCATTTTTGAAACAAGAGTCTGTGCACTAGCAATAGCTAACTATCCCTAAATGCTGCCGACTTCCCCTAGCTACTGGACAAAGTCGAGGTGGATATACTTAGCACAAAAAGTAAGGAAAATTTTGGTTTTTTAGATAATTTCTTTGTTGTAACAATGCTTCTTGGCAATAAATCTTATAACTTTGGAAAGCCTGTTAAATTTCCTTTGAAATGGTGCCACATTTGTGGGATGAGCAGTAGGGCTGAGTATGTGAGTTTAGCACATAAAAAATTACCAAAATTACCAAACTTATTTTGTTGTTGCTATTGCCACTTATTTTGAGCTTCTGGAACCACTAGGTGCTGCCAATCAGGTGCTCGCTTTAAGATTTTTTGCCAAGAAACATTGTTACAACAAATAAATTATGTCAAAAACAAATTTCCTTACTTTGTGTGCTAAGTTAAAATATACAGTAATACACCTTTTGTTTCTGCAAAGGGAACAAGACTATGGACTAGAACAGGGTTGGGCAATCCGGATCCTCGAGGGTCATAGCCCTGCATGTTTTACTTGTTTCCCTGTTTCAACAGACCTGATTCAGTCATTGAATTACCTCTTCCAAGTTCTGCATAAGCCTGAAAATCACCCATTCATTCAAATCAGCTGTGTTGGAGCAGACAAACAAGTAAAACAGGCAGGGTTGCGGCCCGCGAGAACCAGGATTGCCCACCCATTGACGAGAACTTTAACTGGAATCAACTGACAGTGAAGTTTGTGGCTTCAAATTCCAGGTTCACTTCAGAGGTCTGCCAATATGCAGCCTTTTGTTGTTCAAACTATTTTCTAAATGTTTGGAATACTGTCAGTTTTGCATTACATGGCAATTCAGGTACAATTTGAGGTTATCACCACAATCACCACAACAGCGCTGACTTGCATTTTCTATGCAACCTATGGCACCTATCATAATAATTCTGTTGGGAAAAACCACAAAATGGAAAACTGACAGCCTTATAAGTTTGTGTTTGCATGAACAGCTATAAAAGTTCAGTGATTAAAGTTGTTTTAAAGGCACAGTGTGTAGGATTTTGTCAATTCTTTTAGCCAAAATTGAGATAATCACTAATGACAACAATAAAAAACATGTCTAATCATTGCAGACAAAGACCTTGTTTTATTATTTTTACCTTATGAAAAGCTGTTTATATCTCCATGGTCGCGCATTGCCACACAGGCAGCCGCCATCTTGCACCGCCATCTTGTCTACAAAGGCTCATGAAGGACAAACTGCGGTGGCGGTGTCAAAAACGGTTTTAGTTGTAATACTATAAATGTAATATTTGTTGTCTGTCATTGTAGCTGGGATAATTTTACTTATTAAAGCTCATAATCTTACCACTTGAAACATCACTAGCCCTGAAGCTGCTGGTAGACATCGCGGTTGGAATTATCAAAGGTTTTTGACACCTGAGAGACACCGTAGCAACTCCTTTGTGTTCGGAAGAGGGGGGTGGGGGTGGGGGGAGGACCAGGGAGGATGATATCACCACTCAACCACTAGATGTCATTGAAAACAACAAATCCTACACACTGTGCCTTTAAGGGGGCAGCAATCCGTGTTAATCTTGACCCTCACCAGACTAGCTGTTATCTATTCAATCCTGTCAGAACTGAGCTCAAATAAGGCTGTTCAAAGATCTACCTACATATATACTGCATCAACTGTTCAGAACTTTTCCACAAAACTCCAGTAAAAGGTCTGAATGAACCCTTTAAACTGTAAATGCAAGCTGTTATTTCGCCGTGACTGATGATGTTTACCCGAGTTCTAATGTGCAAAGAATCTTTGATATATGTTTTTAGCTCCATGGATTAATAGTGTATACAGTAGCTACATGCACTGCATCACTTGCTGATTTAAGGTAGGAGTTTAAAGTTCGGAGAGAAATGATAAGTTTTGTGGTTTTGTAGCAGTGCTCGCTGAATAACAACAAACTGGAAAGTCTCAGGCGGTGACAGGGTTTGATGCATGTTGCCGTATCCGTTTGAGCGAGCACGGCCCTGTGTGTGTACTTTTGCATCCGAGATGCAGATGACAGACTGCTGGTGTTTGTTACAATGCAGGAAGATGCACAGCCCTTTGTTCAGCCATTTGTTCATCTAGATTCCCAAATTGAAGTTGTTTTTAATGTATTGCAAGCAAGTCAGGTCTTTTATTACAACTGAACTCAGCTTGTGGTGACCAGATTTGTGCTTTAGTAAGGGTGAATAACCAAATCCAGGTTTTCACTAAGGTGCCTCACGCCTGTGCTCTGGTCTTATGCTTCAGTGATGGGTGAAACCTGTCATCTGGCCTAAAAATGGATAAGCTCTCACTTGGTAAATGTACCATGTCTAGACGCTGTCCACTACAGTTATAATGAGCAGTGACATCCCTCAACACACTACAATCACCTTTCCACATCAGCAGTCCCATAGCAACCTCCTGCAGCAACATGAACAAGCAACCTTTCTCTTTCACTAAAACGTTTAGTGTCTCCACCATTTTTAAGTTTTTTTTAACCTGGTAATTAAATGTAAGAGCTCCATTATTTATGACACAGATGCATGTTTCAAGGATTGAGCAAAACTGACACAAATTGAGTGCCACTCACGATAAATATCACTGTGATCAATAACCAACTTCTGTAAAGAATTTGGCTCTCCTGCTGCATACTCAACGTGTGAGCGAGTCGGTGATGGATCACTTAAGTTTCACAGATGCAAACAAATGTGTGCAGCGACAGGGGAACAAGAGGAGAGAAAATGCTGATCATATTTGTTACAAAAGAGGTGATTTTCTATGCATTAAAATGTCTGGAAAGGACTACGTGCTCCAGGTGTTGGTTGATCTGCATTACGAAGCCATTATTAAAAGATAAATCCTTTGTAAGGAAAAAAAATGATGTTATAAAGGTTTCTTGCTGCTTTATAAATGCTATTGTTATGGATTGTTTTTAAATAAGCTTGAAATAAAACTAAAAAACAAGCTTTACTTTAAGGAATGGATCATGCCCACCGCCTTGGCCTAAAATGGGCTGATTCTAAAGGCCCTGTCACACTAGACAACTTATGCCAACTTAAGAACATTTTAAAGACAACTACACTGAAGATAGAATTGAAAAAATTAACAGGAATCTTTTTTTAAAAATAAACATATTGTAATTCTAACAAATTGATCAAATATATATCTTTTATTAGCTATTTAGACTTAAAAATAATGGAAATGGAGTTATAGCTGTTTTGGTACAGCTT